CCCATAAGTCAGCCATGGAAACCTATGAGTGACCATAGGTGAGTCACACACTCTCAGCCCCAGAAAACCCCATCTTAGGGTCACCATAAATTAGAAGCAACTTGAACTCACACAACAACAGCCACTGGTCAATGGTTCCCAAACTTTGGTCCTCCAGATGTTTTGGACTTCAGCTCCCAGAATTCCTGACTGTTGGGACTTCTGGGGAGCAGAAGATCAAAAGTTTGGGAATCACTGTAACTAGTATATGATCCTGGGTGACAAGTCACACTCTCTCAGCCTCAGGGGAAGGCAATGGTGAATGAGCAGTCTATCTTTTGCAACCAACTACTTTCTGCTCATCCTTGATTTATAATTGAGCCTAGAGACCAAGGTTCAAATCATGTAAACCCCCTGGATGACCTTGGGCAACAGTCACACTCTCTCAGCCTCAAGGGAAGGCAATGGCAAATCTCCTATGAACCAATCTTGCCAAGAAAACCCCAAGATAGGGTTACCTTAGGCCGGGTCACCACAAGTGAGAAATCACTTGAAGACCCACAACAATAAGCTCAAGAACCTTTTTTCCTGCTTTTCTCTCTGAAATCCTGGGCCCCGTTTTTCCTCCTAAAACATCGAACGAGAAAGGAGGCACGTGTGAACCCGCACCGAGGCAACACGCGTGTTATCTTGTCCCCCTTCCCTCCCCAAAAGCCCGCTTCACCGACGCCTCCAACCCACCTGAGAGCTCCAGCCGCCATGACACTCCCCTCCCGCCTCCCAACTTCGAAGGCGAAACACCGCCTCTTCTAAAATGGCCGCCGCCGGCAGAGCTCAACTGCGCATGCTCGCCCGAGTCCTGGCTTTCGTTAACAGGCGTTAAACCGGCAACCTTCGAGCGCGGAGTGGGCGTTGGGCCTACAACTCCCGGCATGCTCTGCGCCCGAAGGCATCACAATGCTCTCGAGCCACACCGCCCCCCGCTGCTCAGAGAAGGGAGTTACAGGTGGAAGGAGGGATGCAGGGAGAGGGATTGCTCAGGTGAGAGTCTTTTAGAGGGATAGATGCTGCTGCTGCTAATAATGATAATGGGAATTGCCTTGCTCTTGTTATTGGGTGCCTTCAAGTCGTCTCTGACTTATGGGGACCCTAAAGTGAACCTGTCGTGGGGTTTTCTTGGCAAGGTTTCTTCAGAAAGGGTTTGCCATTGCCATCCTCTGAGGCTGAGAGAGTGTGACTTGAGGCTGAGAGAGTGTGGCTTGCCCAAGGTCACCCCAGTGGGTTTCCATGTCCAAGCCAGGAATCCAACTCTTATAGTTAAGAGTCAATATTAAAATAGAATTAAACTATCCACAATAAAGGTAATAAAATATCCACAATGTGAAAACAATTTAAAACATTATACTTAAAAAGGGATAAAAAGCCAAGCTGGGATGGGAACCCTGGTCTTCAGAGTCCAGATTATACAACTAAGATATGGAAATATACAACTAAGATGTACAAAGAGCAACGATATACAACTAAGCACGAAAATTAAAATGGAATTAAACTATCCACAATATGAAAACAATTTAAAAGATATACTTAAAAGGGATAAAAAGCAGAGCTGGGATTTGAACCCTGGTTTCCAGGGTCCAGACTGTATAACTAAGATATAGAAATATACAACTAAGATGTAAAAAGAGCAATGATATGCAACTTAGCACAAAAATTGAAATAGAATTAAACTATCCACAGTATGAAAACAATTTAAAACATATACATAAAAGGGATAAAAAGCAGAGCTGGGATTTGAACCCTGGTTTCCAACGTCCAGATATACAGCTAAGATATAAAAAGCGCAAAGATATACAACTAAGCATGAAAATTAAAATAGGATTAAGCTATTAACACTATGAAAACAATTTAAAACATGTGTCACATCTTCAGAGTCAAGATACACAAATGAGATATAAAAAATATACATATAAGATTTTTTTTAAAAGATCAAAGATATGCAACTAAGCACAAAAATCAAAATAGAATTAAACTGTTCACAATATGAACAATTTAAAACATATACCTAAAAAGAATTAAAAAAAACCAAGCTGGGATTTGAACCCTGGTCTCCAGAGTCAAGTTATACATCTAAAAAGTTAAGCAAAAAAGGGCTTAATGACTTTTACTGGCATATCTGCAAAGGTGCATATTATCGGATGTGTGATTGTTTGTTTTGCATGCATGGCAGCAAGGTGCATGCAGATTGGGTGCTACTGATAACAGATTTCTTTTGTTTTAGGTGCTTGTAGGGTTTGTCCATTCTCCTTTGCATTTTGCAGCATGTTTGTTTTTTTTTCAGACTGAAACTGGTATTCAGTGACACACCATCCCACTTAGCTTTCCTCTCTTCTCAGATAGATGGACTATAAGAAAACTGCAGATGAAGTCTCTGAGAAAGTCTTTGCATACCTCCAAGAAGATACATCAGAATGGAAGGTGGTAAAAAGTACAGTAAGAACAAGTGCACTTCCATTTTCTCTGAACTATTTCTGCTTTGCAAATTAGCACAACCCCTGGGGGAAGAAAATACTGGCCCACAACAAGTCAAATTAGCCTTCTTGGGAAATAAAACGCCTGTTCTCGGTTGTGGTTTAAGAGAAGGGCCTCGATTTGTCTTTTCACTTGGAAGCAATTTTTACTTCTCACAAGCAATGGGGAGAAAGACTATTTAAAGCCTGACTGAGTGTTCAGCCCCAGTTATATGGGAGTATATATTCCATAATGCTCAGTGGAATTTATTTGGTATAGGATCCACTATTTAAGGTAGAGCAATAAATATATTGCTGCATTTAACTTTGGTTGATTGTTTTTTAAAAAGTCCTGATTTCAAAAGCAGAGGTATTTGATTATTCTTTTCTTTCATTTATTGTCACCCTGAGAAAACGATTAAAGTGTGGTCAAAACCTTCAGAAGACTTCACAGGAACGCTGTAAGTATATGATTGGTTTTAAATGTATTTCATTCAGTTACAAAATAAATAAATAAATAAATACTTTTTTAAAAAATCTTGCAATGATAACTTTATTAGGCCATCCCAAAGGTGCCAAATACATCAAGTTCACAAGCTTTTTATCAGGCAAAGATAGTGGAAAAGCCTTTGAGCTGATCCAACCAGTGTGATGTAGTTTGAACCTTTTGGCTGGCATAATAAAGGTATTGCCACAAGATGGATTTTGGATTTTGGATTTGTTTTGTTTTCTTATATAGGTAAGCATTTTACCCTTGTAACTCTTTTTCTTCCAAGCACTTAATTTAAAAAGCAACAGTGATGAGAAAAGTGTTTGGAGATCCTTCTCTATAAGAAAAGGCATTGCAATTCATACTGGTTTCACTGTTACTCCTCCAGGGGCCAATCAATTATTTGTTGTTGTGAATTGACATCTAGTCATCTTCGACTTATGGCAGCCCTATGAATGAGAGATGTTCAGGCTATCCTGTTATTAACAGTCTTGCAAATCCATGGTTTCCTTGACTGAGTGTATCTACCTATAATGTGGTCTCCCTCGTTTCCTATTGCCTTCCACCTTTACCAAGCATGATTGTCTTTCATGAGGACTCATGTCTTCTCATAATACTGTATGTCCAAAGTACAACAGTCTCAGTTTAGCTATCTTGGCTTCTAGGGAGAGGTCAGGTTTGATTTGCTCTTGTTGTTGTTGTGTGCCTTTCAAGTCATTTCCAACTTATGGCAACCCCTAAGGAAAACCTATCATGGGGTTTTCTTGACAAGATTTGTTCAGAGTAGGTTTGCCTTTGCTTTCCCTAAGGCTGAGAGAGTGTGACTTAGTCAAGGTCACTCAGTGGGTTTCATAGCTGAGCCGGAAATCAAACCCTAGCCTCCAGATTCATAGTCCAACATGAGATCCATTTATTTGTCCTTTTGGCAGTCCAGGGTATTCACAGAACTCTCCTCCAGAACCACATTTCAAATGAGTTGATTTTCTTCCTGTCAGCTTTCTTCACTCTCTAGCTTTCTTAACCACACATAGAATTCAGAGATACAATGGCGTGAACAATGCTGACTTTAGTATTCAATGATATATCTTTATATCTGAGGACCTTGCATAGTTCTTTTGTGGTTGCCCTTCCAAGTCTTAATCTTCTTCTGATTTCTTGACTGCAGTCTTTATTCTGTTTAATAATTAAGACAAGCTATGGAAAATATTGAACTATTTCAGTGTCTTCATTGTCTAAAATTATTTATGTCTTGTGGGGTACTGTAATTATTTTTGTTTTCTTGATGTTCAGCTGTAAAACTGCTTTTGCACTTTCTTCCTTTAATTCCTCTACCTTTTTCAGTAATCGTTCCAAGTCTATTTTTTACTAGCAGTATTGTGTCATCTGCATATCTTCAGTTGTTAATGTTCCCTCCTCCACTTTTCATGCCTTCTTTCCAGCTTTATGTAAAACACTTTCAACGTACAAGTTAAAGTGCTAGGATGATAAAATGTAGCCCTACATCTTTCCAACTGGAAACCATTCTATTGTTCCATATTCTGTTCTAAGACTGGCTTCTTGTCTTGAATTACCCATCAAGACAATCCTATATTGTGGCACAGCCACACTCTTAGTGTAAATATCCCTTTGATTTCTTGGGTCCTGTGGAAGAGGTCTCTTGTTCTACACCCCCTTTTTTTTCATCTTCTATTTCTCTTCATTGATTATTATAGTAGTTCTCTTTGTCTGTGTGCACAAGTCACTAAACAGTTGCATTCAGGGTTCTGACCCTATTTCTGCCCCCTTTTATTTCTGCTTCCCATTTGTCCTTAACTGCTTGAAGATTTTGATCTTTCATCAAATACAGATTTTCTTTCTTTTTGGATGCAGATAGTGTCTTTTTGCATTCTTCCCTCACAATATCCCTGGCTTTGATGCAGAGTTCTTCTGGCTCCTGGTCAATTAGGCTTAATAGTGTGAAACTATTTTTTAATATTATCTTTAAATTCTACAGGGATGTTACTATATGTAACATGACGGGGAGAGCCAGTGTGGTGTAATAGTTTGAGCACAGGACTATGATTCTGGAGACCAGGGTTCGAATCCCTGACCTCAGGCAAGTCACACTCTCTCAACCTCAGAGGATGGCAATGGCAAACCCTCTTTAAAGAAACGTGCCAAGAAACCCCCATGATAGGGTAGCCATATGTTGGAAACAACTTGAAGGTACACAACAGCAAGGATATTAGACATGTGTGTGATTAGTCTGTTGATCACATTTTTTCTCCCCACATCAAATGCCCAACCTTTCTGCAGATCAGTTGTGTAAAGCACCATGGGGGGATTTATAATCGACAATCCTCAGCACCTCCTACCAAATAACCTTTAATATTTATATATATATATATTCTAGGTACCGTGCTGAAGCGCTTGTGGAAATACCACCTCATAAACTGTTTCCCTTCATTTACCTTCCTGAGTACCGGGGCAAGTGGGATAAGGCAGTACAGTCATACAAACTTGTGGAAACAATTGACGAGGTGATTCAGTAAGTTAATGGAAAAACGTTGGAATGATGAAATGTTTGGTATACCGAAATATGACAGTGGGCCAATTTTTCCTATATGGGATCCACTGTGAACCTCACCAGCTGCCCATAACACAGCTGAAAGTGACCAGAAGCTCAAATCTGGTTTCAGAAAACCTCTTTTGAATGGTGATGGTACAGTAGGCCCTTGGTATCCACTAGGGTTCGGTTCCAGGACCCTCCATGGATACTAAATTCCGTGGATGCTCAAGACCCATTAAACATAATGGCATGGTAAAATGGTGTCCTTTATATAAGATAGCAAAATCTAGGATTGTTTTCGGGAATTTATATCTTTTTTTGGGGGGTGGGGGAAATATTTTCATGGATAGTTGAATCTGTAGATAAAAAAATCCGTGGAGATGGAGGGCCAACTGTAGTTGTTTTAGCAAAACAAAGCACAGAGTGCTTTCACACTAGTCAATTATAGCACTATGATTCCACTTTAACTGCCTTGGCATCTTCCTGTGAAATCCTGGGATTTGTAGTTTAGTGAGGGTATTTGAACTACATAGCAGGAAAACTCTTGTACCTCACCAAACTATAAACCCCAGGATTCAGTTGGGTGTTTCTGTGGCAATGAAACCGGAATATTGCTGTTTTCAGTCTCTATATTATGGGGAAAAGGCAGGATGATGATGATGATGATGATATTAATAATATAGTGCAGTAATTGTGTGGTGTGAAAGCCCCAAGAGCAGGAGGTCTTTTATGGTGGCAGTTTCAGGAGGCTTCAAAAATGGATGAGCACCCTCCATACAAACCACACACAACCCACAGGCTCCATGTTGCCTTCCCCATCTAAAATTTGGCATATACAAATGTAGCCTCTTATTCTGTTTAGTACAACAAAATCCAAAACCTTGATTAGGCCAGCCAATAGGCAGAAAATATGTTGTGCTAGCTTTTGAAACTCCCTGACAGATTATTTTTTTCTTCCTCCCTTCCTCTAATCTAAGAGTGAAATTTTCCAATTTCCCAATAACTTTTCTTTAGCTGCCACCACCAACCACTTCTGGAGTACTCCCATATTCATTGGCATAATTGGGTGCCAGTGGGATTTATAGTTTGGAGCCTGGTCTGTTAGAGAGCTCTAGTGCCTCTCCAAACAACAAATACCAGTATTCTGTAGGATAGAGTCATGCCTTATCACATTAAAAACAGACCTGGAAAGGAAATGGAGAGAAGCGTATTTATCTTGGCTGTCTCCACATGACATCAAAGCACTTTTGTTCTCTTCCAATCATAAAAGCGTAGGAGAGGGTCATAAAAATGTGCTTTTTGCCAAACTGGAAAAATCAGTTTGTCAAAAAGGACAGTTTTACCACTCTCTCCCATGCTTTTAGGACTGGAAGAGAATGAAAATGCTTCAACATCATGCGGACACAGACAAGACAAACGTGCTTCTCTCCATTTGTTTTCCGGGTTTGTTTTTAATATGATAAGGCTCATGGCAGTTATTAAAGTGCCTTCTGTTCATATGGCGCAGATTTACCCCAAACCTGAGCTCTAGCTGAACTTCTTTTATCCTCTTCTCAGCCCACTCAGCTTGTCAGTTGGCCAATCCACATACATCACAACTAAGGTGTTCATGGACCGGGTCTCTTATCCAGGTGAAATAAAGAAATGAGGACTGCACTTACACTATAGAAGTAATGCAGTTTGATACCGCTTTAACTACCGTCACTCAATGCTATGGAAATCTGCTGTTTGTAGTACTGTGAGATATTTAGTCTTCTTTGTCAGAGTGCTCTGATTACAGATCCCAACGTTTTATAGGATTGAGCTATGATAGTTAAAGCGGTATCAAACTGCATTAATTCTGCAGTGTGGCAGCAATTTAGGATACTATGACATGTACACTCGAAAGGACTTTATCTAGTGATCGTGGTGCATTTTGATGTATTTTGCTGCCTGCCATCATGATTTATCCTCTAAGGTCATCTAGTGTAGTGGCTGATAGGGTTATCCCCGGTCATCTTTATCTTTATTTATATTCCAGAGCATCTGGCATATTTCCCAGATTGTCATTAAAGCTGAAGCTGGTTTTTCGCTGACACACACACGCACAAGCACACACACTTGTAGATCTAAGTGCCTGAATTAGATCTTATCATCCAGTCTATAAATGATTCCCAGGCTGATTTTAAGTGATTTTAAAAAAATTTAAAAAAATTATTGTAAAGCATTTTAAACTATTTAATCTGTGAGCCACCTTGGGTCCCTTTCTGGGAGAAGGGTGGCATAGAAATGAAATAAATAAATACAATCAAATATATCTGGTCTGTAACAGGCCAGATCACAGTGAGAATCAGGAGTGTAGCAGAAGGGAAGGAATCAAGCTTAGCCTTTCATTCTCGTGCTCCCACTTGGAATTTCCCCAAAGTCAGGAATCACTTTATCCCCAGCTTTACTTCCATTGAAAACAGAAGGTCCATAGGGAAAAGTACGACTGCTCTTTGGGCCAAAGTAGATCTGACAGCCATCAAAGAGGGAGCCCTTTTTGAAGGCACAAGAATGACT